TGTCCAGAGGCTGCTGCTTCCTTCAAGGCACATCCACCTGCTGTTGTGCAAGGTCCTCCATGGGCTGCAGCAGTACAACTTTCTTCACCATGATCTTCTCCATGAGCCACAGAAGTTCTGCTCCAGCACCTGGAGCACCCCCTCCCTCTCCATTTCTGACCTTGGTGGCTGCAGGGCTGTTTCTCTCCATTTTCGTCAGTCCTCTCACAGCTGCTGCACTGCATTTTTTTTTTTTAACCCTTTAAGTATGTCTCCACAGAGGTGCCACCAACTTGGCTGAAGTACTCAGCTTTGGGCAATGACAGGTTCATTTTGGAGCCAGCTGGAAGCAGCTCTGTACAAGGTAGAGGCATCTCCTGGTCTCTACCCACAGAGGCCATCCCTACAGCAGCCATTGCCAACACCTTGCCCCTAAACCCCATACAGTGCTATTTTGTGCTTTTCCAGAGCAAGAAATCAGACCTTGGTTCTCCCACAAGAGAGGAACTGCCAAACAGTCAAGCTCTGCAAAACTGTCCCTTAAGTTGAGTACAGGATGTACTTACTAGAAGTGTGCTAGGCTAATCACACTTGCATGCTATTCTTCCTGAAGACTAAGTTAATCCTGAACTAGACAAATCTAATATTTCACTAAACTAAATTCCTATTTCCTTGCAATCAAATGCAGTACTAGTGTATCTGTAGGTAAATTACTGCAGGGAGTTTTCATGAGGCATCATAAAAAGAAGTCCTTGATGCTTACAGTGTGTGGTGAAAACCAGAGATTGCTGAAGCCTTTTACATCCTGTATTCAGCAGTTTGTAGTCTTCTGCAGCTTTGATAAAAGATGGAGGAAGGCATTCCCCTTTGTATGACAGGAAACACAGCTTGCATGGTTTCTGAGGCCAGAAAGTGAGTCAGCAGTAAGGAGTTAAGAGTTCAGAGCCACATAATAGTATCCAGTTACTTCACTGCTTCAGTCCAGCATTTGGAAACTGTCTGTGGCAGACCATGGATCCATTAACATTCATGATTATTTCAGGAATAAGTTATTCTGGAAATTAATAGAGACAACATCCAAAGCCACCATTTGAATTTATTTATTCATAGACAGTGTTCCTTAAAATTGGCACCACCATCAGAAAATACTGCCATCACTGACACATAGTTCTCACCCATCTCAATTTTCATAGCAAGATAAACTACTGAGCTTGGAAGTTGTGAAGTGGTAAAATACTATCTTTGCCCTTAGCAAAACAGCAATGCTGATGTTTATATCTTAACTGCACATATGACAAGGTAAGGTAAGAAAGCAGTCATAAATGCTAAGCCCCACAAAGATACTTACTAATACGTAACTGAAGTGGTATGTTAATCACATTAATACCTCCAGTAGAACTTGAGGCATCACAAAGTCTTTGGTCTTAAACTTCCTTTTGTTTTTAATTAAAGAAGGTTGTGCCTCTTAGTTCAAGTGCTGTCTCAGGAAGAAGCATGCTGAAATGATTTAGAGTTATAATTCTAGTCAGTTACAAATGATCATATGTAGTTCTCACAGTTAATATTAAGAATTACCAACATTTCCTAAGTTGTTAACACCTTCCTCTCTACTCACTGTACTGAAAAAACTTCCAGCCCAAAGTCCTATTTTCCTTTCTTTACCCTTTCCTTCTCTGTCGGGAAGGGACTCAGGATGTTTCCTAGAGCATATTCCAAATGGTCTAAGGAATTTAGATCCTGCCTTTTCCTCTCCCGACAGAAAAGCTTGTAATCCTGTTTCTCCTGAAAGAATAGGAAGGTGCAAGAAAGCAATAGCTTCATAGGTTTTATGAAAGGAAGGAAATGAAGTCATGATAAATTACACACACAAAAAGCTACTAGACCCTTCATTCCAGTCATGAAGAGAGCAACTTTGTTTTGCCTGCAGAACACGAACAGTGCTTGAGTCAACAAGATTGAGTACTTCAGTAAAAATTCCTTTTTTGGTAACTAGAGAGTATGACTTGGTGCATTGTTAGTAAGTGATGCAAAGCAACAGGCAGAAAGGGCCAGTGCAAGCAAGGAGGCAGTAAACATGCTTCACACCTCTGATGTGCCAGTGCTACCAGCCATCACTGCAACAGTAACAAATACAGATTAACTGATATGGAAAGAAAAATTAAAGCTAAAAGTGTCAAGTAGAAAAGCTAGCTGCTTCTTTATATACCTGCAGTTAAGAGCCTGTGCTTTTAGTTTTTCTGTCCCTTGCTAGATATTGTACACCACTTTATCATTTTCTGACAGCTAACTAATGCTGAAGTTGTTCTTTTCTGTGCACCACATACAGCTGAAGTAAAAGCTATGCCTCCTAAGCAGTCTATTAAAAAAAAAAAAATCAAACTGGCTCCAACTCAGAATTACAAACTCCTCCAGTTTGACCCAAAGCCAAAACTTTTGCTCCGGAAAGAAGTTGGTACAGTAGCAAGTACTATTTCCCAAATACTAAGCCTGTGTTCAGAAGATTCAAAAGCAAAAAAAATTAAAAAATTTCAGACATTTATAACATTCCAAGACACTTCTCCCATTTTGAGAAAATATCAAAGCTGAGTTACTTTGTTCAGCTGTTTGCATTTTGAATTAGAAGGAGATGCTCTGAGATGGAGACTTCGCAGCTCACATGACCTTCAGCAGCTCAAGTTTTAAGTGTTAAGCTGCCAAAGAAGCAGCTGCCTAAAAACATTCCAAATTCATACTGAGTTAACCTTTTAGATCACATTAGGTTCTAAGATAGTGCCATTGCAAATTAAGGAGTGTTACTTCTGTAACAATTGCCTCTGGCTATAGAAGGCTGGAATTTGAGATCTGCACAGTGCAGACTTGCAAATGCTTTTGTATTACAGAGGTTGAAGAGGCATTTTGCACAAATTAATGCAATATTGAACTATGCAAGTTAGTGTTTTGTTGATTTTTTTTTTTAATCTTTTTTAAATGTTGGTGCTCCCACCATTAGCAACATAAATATTCTTAGGAGCATTACACACAGTTCACTTTCTAGATATGTGCTTGTTTTCATTTAATAAATGGTCCATAAAAGCTGAAAGAATTAATGACAAAGTCCTTGCACTGCATCAGTTAAGTGTAATTCCTTGATAGGGGTAGAAAGACTTTAGCCAACAGTTACGGCAACAATCACTTGGGGTAGGAGGTGGGGTGGGTGAAAACAATACAGATGAAGTATAAAGCTTCCATTTTCACATAACCTCTTTCTAATTACTTACAGAATAGTTTATTATTTTTTTCTGAAGGAAAACTGACAGTACTGCAACTTACAGATATTCTTCCCTGGGAGAAATTAGGAAAGAACAGTCCTGCCCTTGCCCAAAGCTGTGTGCCCTCCCCTGCTTCAGCAAACACTCAGAAGTAGACAGGGAAACATAAGAAATCGGGGGGGAAAAAGCCCAAGATTTTTCTTAGCTGTCTACTTATTTGTAATACCTTTACTGAAGAGACAGGTGGAGACCTAATGAACTTGTGTCCATCAGTCCCTTTAACACTTGGATTTAGGCTGCTTTTCATCACAACAGGGATTTGAAAGATGCAGCTCCATCTGGCTAAGTTGCATCCATAAAGGGAAGGCAAAAATCAGCATATGAAGGTGAAATTTACTGATAAAAACAAGAGCAATATCCCCATGTATTAGTGACATTTGAAGTGAACAGACACAGCTGACAGGTCAGAATCGACCCCACCAACCATGATGCTTGGTCTTTTCAGGCTACCTGCTCCTCTTTTAGCAATTAGGCTTTCTTCCAACTCAGTGCAGTTGATGCACACAGTTAATGGATTCCTGTCTCAGCAGAGGCATGGTAAGCACTGTGGGGTCCACATTGGTCCTTTTCCCATTCACTCCCACTGTTTTCTTGCCCTGCCCCACTTCACTCTGTCACCAGAGCTTCTCTTCCTAGGTGGCACCTGCCTTCAGGTCTGACACATTACCTGTATCTGCTGTCTCCTTAACAGCTTTCAGTCTTAAGCAAGAATATAACAGCTTACTAAAGTTTTTCACAAGCAAGCAAGTGAAAAACTCAAAAGCCACACTTATGAACAACCAAAGTTGGGCTTTTTCCCTTCCACAACAGGAGTTTGTATTTTGACACAAGATGCCTAACTCTGCTTGTTTTCCAGTTTTCTACACTGTTGAGGAAAAGCCTGCTGGAAGCTGGTCCTACCAGCAATTCACTAAACAGTAGAAAACATCCTGGGCAATTCTACCTAAGGATTAAAAACTTTGCCCTTCAATACAGCTTGTCTTGGGAGACCATAAAACTGCAAACATCCAGTTTAGAGCATATGTATGTTACACAAGACTAGATAGTGTCCTGCAGCTCTCCCCTGAACACAGGGGCATCAAAATCCAGCATCTCTTACAGATCCATGCTACATGTACCTCAAGTACAGCTTGGGATGTGGTGTCATCTTGCAACTGAACAGTAAGAACTACAGATGTTATGGTTTAACTCCTGAAGAAAGCTTCAGCAGGTTGCTTGTAAGCCATCTTCATGAAACTATGGCAAATTATTCAATACTTCAGGCAGAACTGGGTATCAGATCCATTATAGAAATATATCAGCTTCTTCAACTGGTATGAGCTACACTAACCTGAACTTTCTGTAGATTTGAAGAAAAATATAAAGAGTTAAATGAAGTGTTTTTCCTTGGTTTAAGGGAAGTAAGGCTACATTTTAAGCTTCTGCTTAATAGTTGCACTTTCTCCAGTTAGCTTCATGAGAGTGGTCAGTCACTGAACCAGGATTCGCTTGTATGTTTCGACTGGTAACAGAAGTAAGCACACTTCATTCTTTTGTACCTCAATGCCAGTTGGACAACAATACCAGCACTGTTAAGGATTAAAAAAACAAAAAAAACCACAGCTCCCCTGCCCTGACCTTACAGCCCAGTCTGTTCAGAAGGCAAGTAGACAGCCATGAAAAAAACCCCAACCAAACTACGTTTTGATCAGTGCACGAAATACCCCACTGGTTACAAAGCATGCAAGTTTCCAAGTTTCCACTCATTGTATATTTTGAGTTGCTGGGGCAAAAACCTGCCCTCTCTCCTTTTGCCAAATTCTTAGACATTAGGCACCCATCCTTTTGCTGTGTTAAGAGCCTGTGAACACCAAACACTTGTTTTATGACTAAGGCCTACAAGCACTCCCAAATGGGAAAAATGTTAGTTCACATCAGCGGGCATCCCCCTACTATAACATTGTTACAATTAAAATTGGGCAAGAGAATGTCTTTAAGCAAGAGGATCCGGTATCAGGAGTGCAGCTGTGTTCACTACTCCTGCCTTGATCTTGTACACGTGCCGTCTTCATCATATTCACCCATCAACTGCAACATATACGTTCCAGTATAGAGAAGAAACTGTCCAGTTATTTGTGCTGCATGGGACATTAGCTGAAGCACCTTCCTAGAAGAAAAGCCATTTGTTTAAAAAAAAATTTCACCAACAGGGTGACATTGCCCCCCCCCGGCCCCGACCTTTAGGATAAGTTAGGTAGATATATTTAAGAACTCTCTCATTCCTCCTCACTTCTGAGCAGCTGGTCATTTCTGTACCTTCTTTACAGCAAATACTTTTATGACCATGGATTAATGGAAAACTATTGACATACTGGCAGAATCAGAAAACACATTTAACAAAGCAGGCCATCATCCTGTTAGACATTTACAGGCCTTCCACAAAGCCATTACTCAGACTACCAGAACACCACTGAAGACTTAACTTTGCCTGGAAGCCCAG